AATACTGATCATCAACCAGAGCAGTAATCACTAGCTCAGAAAATTTTTTGCTGAGCCATACACAGTGCCTTCAGTTAGATTGTATGATAGAAAATATGGATCATCAACTAGGATTTTGTGCAATATATTAATTTTATATATATTCGAAAAAGAAAATATATTAACTTTTGTTCATTATTTTTTTCCCAAATATATATGAGAAAATGTAAAAGAACAACTAATTGCAATACAAGGCCTATCATATAAGCAAATAGTGTGACAAAGTATATATTATGAAATGCTAAAGACTTTGAAATTTTGAGATTGCTAGAAGTGAAACTAACTATATGTCTTTCCAGTAGATCTGATCCCTTTGAAATTCTCTCCATGTGAAAAGGTATGAAGATTCCATTTACATATGCTTTTATGAAGCTTAATATCAGATGATAATACTAATTGCATCTTGTATCTCCTTAACTTTTTCCTTTCCAACAGCAAGATATAAAGCATTTCAGACGAATAAAAAGAAACAGACTGCGGATAAAGCATTTGGGAATAACTATTTCGACTATATCTATGGTATTGTAATCATAGGTATGGAGTGGCATTTTATCATATATACTCCTGATAGTATATACTCTATGAGTGAAAACGAATACCAAATTAATCTCACAAAATCTGTCATCAAAGAAAATCCTAATTTACTTTGAAATAACGTGAAAAGAGTGATTGATATCATTGTAGGGTTGTTAAAAGATCATGTTAGTATAGATAGTTCCCTAGCTAGCAAGAGGGTTAGAATCAAAAAAATTATCAAAAAATAATATGTATCATGGGCTTAATCCAGACCTTTGTATTTATTTTTCATATGTATTAATAATAAATTTTCTTGGCAAATTTTGGCAAACTTAGTTCATCCAAAATCATGTGTTTTTTTTTATTTTGAATGCTTATATATATTGTATTAATTATATATAGATCATATCATCTAAACTTGAAGTATTGAAACAGTGTATCACTGAACTTAAGGCTGAGAATACAAAGTTTAGGAAGGAGAATACTGAGATCTCCTATCTTAGAAACAAGCTCTCATTATCTGATGCTGAAATAGCTGAACTTAAGTGTAGGAATATTGAGTTTTTAAGAATAAATAAGGAATATAATGAAAGGTATGATACTGAGAATACCAAACTCAAGACCAAAATCGAAGAGATAGAGAAAAACAAGAAGATTCTTCAGCTGAGAATATTAGGCATAATGTTGAAATTGCTGAGATTAAGGCTGAAGTAGTGAAACTAGCTGAAAGCGCTCAGGCAAGAGATAATAACAAAAAAAGCAAACAGTTAACTTCCCATCAATCAGAAGTTATTTCTAAAGAAATGATTTCAAAATATGATCAGAATACTATAGATGAAAAAGAGTCTCAAAGCTCTGTTTTCTCGAATACTATTAATCTGATATCAAATGTATATGAGAGGAAGGATATGAGTGATTATGTTTTAGTGCCTTCGGCTAAATCATCAAAGAAAAAAAAGACAGATACTTTCTTGAATGAGATGGATAAGAAAATGATTAGTGATAAGATTAGGTAAAAGAATAGAAAGAAAAAACTTTAGCGAAAAAACAAACAGGGTTTGATTCAAAAAATTAATTTATTCATAAAAGAAAAATACATTCTCTCAGCTGTGATTGAAATTTCAGCGAACCAAGTTCACCCAAATGTTTTTGCAGAAAGAAATGAAGAGCAATTGGTCTACCCTAATATTATTAGTCTATATGAAACTACATGCGATACAGAAAAGAAAACAATTGAAACTAATAGAAAAGAAACTTTATGCTAGTGTTTCTATGCTAGAGAATTCAAGAGAATGTATAAAGATTTATGATCAGCAATAAAGTTGGGAAAAGAAAACTAAAGGTCAGGTATATAATTTTGTTATTGAATAACTTCTTGATACTAAATGCAAAACTTTATATATATATAAACACAAAAAACTTTGAGAATTGACGATTTATTCAAAAAAATAGGAATGGATAAGTTTCAATACATAAAATATATAGTGCAGATACTATTTTGAAATTTACTGATCCTCAGATTCAAATAATTATAGATCACTTTACCGAAAAACCTAAAATGGAATTCACTGATGAAGTTGAGGATGAAGAATAAGATGACGATCATAATAATGTATTAGAGGTCTTATCGTTAGCAAAGTTAATGTCAACTGTACCTATTCTATTAACCCATATCTCTACAAAGTGCCTTAATGATAATTCTTCAAATGATTTCTTTAGAATTGATCTAATAGCTATAAGTACATCACCTATGCCTTAGGTAATATCATCTAACAAATTCAGACTTCTGATTTCTATTTTACCTGATAATTCAGAAGAGAAGCAAAAACATATCATTAGGCTGGTGTTAGAATAGTTTCAGTCTTTATACTTAAGCAATAGTAGTAAATATTACGAGTAGTTCAATTTTAATAGTTCAACGCTCTGTTCTTTATATAATAGAGACCATACAGAAGAAAGCCTAAGGAAGAATATAAAAGGTAAATAAGACGATAGTGACTATTGCGGAGAATGAACTTATCGTATCAAATACAAAGATCCTCTTATTTGTGAAATCTAATAGTATCTGTAAAGCATAGACTTTATCACATAAGTAGCTTATTCAAACCTGATTACCTGAAATATGCAATAGTCGATATTGGTAAAATTCTTGCTGAATAATAGGGGTTGTGTGATGTAAAATCTGCATATATATTCACATTATTTTTCTTTGACTTTGACTTGCATTTATTTTTTACGTTATGTTTTTAGGCATGCTATTATCATATCAGTAAAATAATATTCAAATATGGATATTTTTTTTGGTAATCATTATTTCATGTATAGGATTTGAAGATATAATATGTAATTGCTGGTGAAAATCTGAAGAATGTTTTTTCCTGCAAAATTTACAAGTAATATAAAAGCGAGTTAGATTGATCTCAAGGTTTCATCTCATCTTCACATCCTTTACATATATTTAAAGCTAGAGTACTGAAAACATAAAAAACCTGGAGAACTCATTTAATGTGAATAATCCGCCTAATGTGAAGAACTTTCTATTGTAGAAAAGGAAACAGTATGGAGGGCATAACTTTTACTGAAAGTACAAGACCACAGGAGGAGTGCTAAGTCAAAAGAGAAAAAAGTAATATTCTTCCAGTATACCCAAACTGTAATAAACAACTCAAAACTATTGTATTAAATATCTTTAAATATCTCTACGAAGACATACTTCGTGAGACACTTGATTTTTCAGCGATTAAGTCAAATGATTCTAATATTCTAGAATATGTATCATGTAGAATGTGTAAAATTCCAATTTTAACAGACAATCCTTCTAAATCATTTATTGTCAATGTATGTGGATATATTTATCATCAAACTTGTTCAAAAAAAATCAATAGAAGAGAAGTATTAAGTTGTAATATATGTCTCATTAGTAATGATAGAGATCTGTTATTACCTTTCTAATATAATGTCGTTATAGGAAAAAACATGTATCCAATAGTTCAAATTAGCAAATGTGCAAAGTACTCCATAGAAATCTCTGCAGAACCTTCAGAACTGGTTGTATTATTGCCATACTAACATATGGTGCATTGATAATAATAAGTGCAAGTTGTGTCCCAGATGCCTGACAGACTATGAGTTAGAAAAGAAGGATATTATATTTTACCTGAAATACCTAGGAAAAGGAAGAGATAAGAATGTGAATATAAATCCATCAGGAGTATAAAGACGCAAACTATCATTTGTGAGTTGTCTGTCTTTACACTTAATGAGCTATCAATTAGTATGCCTTTTGAAGCTTTGAACATGAAAGACATATTTAACCAACTTTACAAATTATACTACGACATTGATGTTGCAGAAAAGAAGGGAGATCAAATAAATCAAGATGCTGTTCTCAATTATTTTTATTTGAAAAAGCCTTATTAGAGCATCTCACTAAATCAATGCAAAAAAATCTATCACAAACGGTACATACAAAGTTGAATGAAGAAGTTAGGAAAAAACTTCCAACCTATGTGAAAAAGACTATATTACACAGGAGGTAGATACAGTCAGAAAAATTTATGACATCTTTAACGTGATAGGAAAAGATAAGATTCATCGTATCAAGTCCTTCACTGTATCCAGTTTTTCAGATCTAACTAGAAGTGAGATCGCATATATCATAAAAAATTTTGAGGATTAGTGTATTGACTGTGCTACAGTCGAGTGATTCTGTTATGGCATTGAATACTAGGGTGTTCCATCAACTATGTAAATCAAAACTTACGTAAAATATCATATGAAATTTACTATTAGAGATTTATCGTGATAAACTATAACCATTAAAGTTAAACTGATTTTTATAATAAATTTTCTATTAAATCGATACCTTTTTTGAACTTTAATTACTTTGGATTTTTTTCATTAATTTCTTTTCAAATTTCATAAAAAGATCCCAAATAACTGTTTTTTTTGTGCAATAGGCCGCTTTTTTTTAAAATAAAGTTATTCGTATTTTAAAAATAACAAAAAAGCTATTTCTGAACAACTTCTCTATAGGAAAAGTTTTTTGTTTTTAAACATTTTCAAAAAAGTAAGGTATTGCATTGCTCTTGAGGTTTTCATAGAATATATTTGAATTTTATTATTATATAAATGTCACTAAAAGTATGTGTAATTGAATTTTATAGATTTCAGATTTTTTTAATGAGAAGACTTTTACGTTATACTCATCACTTAAAAAAAGCTCGCAAAATACAAGCTCAAAATTAGAAGCAAATAAAAATGATAAAAAATAAAAAATCAATGAAATTATAAGTGATGTAGATGAACCAAAACTAGACAATATATTAGAGCAAATAACAAAACTAAATAATTTAGAAATAACAAAAGAACGGCATATTCTTTATACAACAATTAATGAATTGTCAGAAATAGAAGTTAAGTTAACCAATTACATTTTAAGTAAAATGCGCTATTCAAAAGGTAAAAATCAAGGCTGAATCCTTTTCACCCATTTGCAAGACAAAGCAGCTAAATTTATAACATGTTTAATTTACAAACCAAACTTCTCTATTGCAGCATTAGCTAAAGAGAATTCAATTATAAAAAAGCAAGTTAAACAATTAGAAAAAAAGAACTCTAATACACTTCATCAAATTCAATCACTTAGTGGCAAACTTAGGCATGTAAGAAAAAAACAACTAAACAAATTGCAAAAATTCATTCTAATATAAGAAAAAAAAACCTTTTTCAAGCAATTCAATTAAACCATATCTCAATTCTCTTTTTAGATAATGAAAGACACTATAGTAGTAAAGTAATGATATTAACTACATGCTTATCTCAGATTGGAAGAATGTTCTTTCATGATACTATATAATATACACAAACTTTTATAGAATTTCTGACTAATGAATCAGCTTCTTCAACATTTTTATTACAGTCAATTATACGTTAGAACAAAGAAATTTCAGAATTAAAGGCAAATGAATTCTTGCATTGCAATAATTCAAAATTTTATACTCTTAGTATTTTAGCTGATGAATCAACAAGAGGTTCTGCAAAAGTCTTTTTAATTTGTTTTATGTATTGGAATGAAATAAAGAATTTGCCAGATATGTTATTGGTTAAAATGAAGGATTTGATTACCTGTGATGCAAAAACAATTGCTCAAATAATTATAGATACTTGTAACAAATATTCCATTGATACAAGAATATATCAAACATTTCTTTCAGATAATACAAATTATATGACAAGAAAAAATAATGGTGCAGTTAAATTTTTTGCTGAAATAACAAAAAATCAATGCTTTTGAATTCCTTGTAGTCTTCATGTTGCTTATATTATTCTTACTATTTTTGAAGATATTGCATTTGGAAAATTGACAATTACTATAGGATTCAGTAAACAATCTCATCTATTTAATTTACTCTATCTGGCATGGGAACTTCATAATGAATATGATAAGACTAATAAAGATAAGCCATTAGGAATGAAAGCTGAAATAATCTATGATATTTACAAAACACTTCTTAATTTTGATATGAATCAATATCAAAAACTAATGCAATCATATTGGTTATATGAATTAAAAACAGCTATACAGTTTCTTGAATGTAAAAAAAGCTCACAAACAATTTGTTAAATGGTTCATTCTAAAATTATGTTTATTGAAAAACACACCTAAGGCCTATTTAAGTAAATGAAAATTATTTGAGATATGGTTAAATGATTCTCAATTAGATATTCAAATCAAATGTCTTGTAAAGTTTGAAAAGGAATTCTACAAACCAATGGTAACTTTTCTAAATAGGTATGATTCTTAACCTAGAATTTTTATCGAACATAATAAATTTGACCAGTCACCTCCAGGTCATAGAGCTCACCAGATGCCAGAAACAGTTTTAAGATGGATTAAAGATCTTAAATTTATTGCTGAAAACATACACGATTTTTTTATTGAAGAGTTAATGGAGGTAACAAAAGTATTAACAGAGCAACAAATTGAAAAACTAATTGGAGATTTAGAACTTGCAGCAGAAAAATCATTGGAAGTTTTTCAAAAATGGATGAACTGTTGGCTTCACCTTCCTTTAAGTATTTGTCGTCTTGGTGGATCCTATGGTCATGAATTTGCTAAAGCATATGCAAATGTTGTTCTTGATTTATATGGGTCTAATGTTCTAACATTATGATAATTAGTATATATGAAATTCTTAGAAAGTGATATTGAAGAGGGCATAACAAATGATTTTGGTCTATTTGATGCTTTGACAGATC